AGAGCCTCTGTTTCATTTGACAAAGTGAGACTCACAAGCCTAACCGTGTACATGAAACGTACAAAGCGTGCTGGAGACACAGACCACCGTCCACACGGATTAGCGGAGAGAAGAGAAGGTAACAGCTGCAGTAAGAAAAGTCAAAGAAAACACAAACCAGGAAGAAAAGACTCAGTCGGCGGACGGTGGAGCGTGCGACTCTTGATCTCTTGGGGTCGTGAGTTCGAGCCCCACATTGAATGTAGCGTTTACTGAAAAAATAAGTAAATAAACTAAAGAAAAAAAAAAGATGGAAACCCAGGGTGCCTGGGTGGCTCCGTTGGTTGAGCGTCCGACTTCAGCTCAGGTCATGATCTCGTGGGTCGTGGGTTCGAGCCCCGCGTCTGGCTCTGTGCTGACAGCTCAGAGCCTGGAGCCTGCTTCGGATTCTGTGTCTCCCTCTCTCTCTGCCCCTCCCCTGCTCATGCTCTGTCTCTCTCTCTCTCTGTCTCAAAAACTAAATAAACATTAAAAAAAATTTTTTTTAAGATGGAAAACAAAGGAAGCCCCAGTGAAGCATAAAATAAAGTGATAAAGGCAAAAATAAGTGGGATATTTTCAGCTATTCAAGGAATAAAAAAAAGCAGGTTGAGTGAAAAAAACACATTAAGCCCAATTTCATTCTGTCCGCACGATAACAAAAAATAATGGAAGCAAACTAGTTGAAACTAAAAGTGGGGCTACACAGGTGCCACAAAGAGGCCGCAGGCTGAGTTCCAAGTACGAATGTCACATTGAAACACGCACCAAACTGTTTCCTCCCAAAGCAACCCCCCCCCCCCCCCCGCGAAAAAATGACTCAAGGGGCTTTAGAGACCGACCCGACGCGACAGAGAGAACGGAGGAAGGGGACACGGACACAAAATGTCCAGGGCTGGAAAGCAGGTGTGCAGGGGGTGCAACCAGCTGCAGAGACCCCAACGGCCAACCCCGAGTCAGCAGCAGGAACGGCTGAGAACAAACCCAGCGTTCACCAGCAAACCCTCAAAGGCTCAGGCACAGGCACCACTCTGGAACCGGCGGCTGAAATAAGGAGGACTGGTTGAAGAGATTAAGCCCCAGATCCCCTCCTCACACCGTCTTGCTGGGCCAGTGTCTCTCCTCCTCCACTTGGGTAGAAATGGAAGGTTTCTGCTCTAGAGAAGGTATAGTTCAGGCTCCTTGGGCCGAGGAATGCCAAGCACAGGTCAGAGCCTGCATCTGTACCGAAATTAGGGGAAATACATAAAAAATATGCACATGGCCTGCAGCAAGCGATGCCTCCTTCCGTTTCCGCCTGCCTTCCACTGTCCTGCTCCCCCCTGGACCCCAGAACCTCACCATCTGGCAGGAGGCTGAACGAGTCCTCTTGGACAAAGCTGAGCAGCGTGGGGGAGTTCTGCATAAATGGCCCCAAGAGACCGCCCTTCCATGAAGACAAAGTCCACGGGCCACAAGGTCCCACCCACTAACATCTTAATCCCCTACTCTAACACTGGAGCAAACCACCAAGGGTGACCTGACATCTGAAAAACAATCAGACCGACAAACCAACAAAAGAATCTACTGAGAAAGGACGAGGCCAAGACAGACAGAACCCTGGAGCACGTGGCTGGCTCGGTCGGTTGAACGTCCGGCTCTCGGTTTCGGTTCAGGTCATGATCTCACAGTTTGTGAGTTCAAGCCCCGCATTGGGCTCTACGCTGACAGCGGAGGCTGCTTGGGATTCTCTCTCTCCCTCTCTCTCTGCCCCACCCCTGTTCTCTCTCTGTCTCAAAATAAATAAGTTAAAAAGAAAAAAAAATAAAGACTGACAAAACCTTAACAGAAAGGGGAAACCCCCACCTCCTGCAATAACAAGCCTGTCACGAACATTTCCAGAGAGAGAATAATTCATTTAACAAGATCAATAAAATTTAAAAGGAACATTCCAGATTAGCTTCGGGGACAACCAAGTAAACCAGACCCACGCCAAAGAAACGAATGAAATCTTATAGTGAAGCTTTACGACCCTGGGGATGAAGGAAAGATCTACCAAGTTCCAGAGAGAAGAAAAAAGGCCACGTACGAAGAACCCGGAATCACACTGGCATTGGGCTTCTTAACAGCAATTCAAAATGGCGGAGGGAAAGCGACTGGGGGTAATTCCTGGCCCCACCAACCGACCCCGCAAGTAGGAAGGTAGGATAAGGGCACTTCGGGCCGTACCAAGCCTCAAAAAATTTATCTCCCACACAACCTTTCTCAGGAAGCTACACCGATGGATGTGCTTGACCAAAACAAGGCAGTAAACCAAGAGAAAGAAAATCGGGAGACGTGGAAACAAGCTTCCTCACGTGGGAGGGGGGCAAAGGGAACCTTCGGGTGCTCGTGCACGGGAGCATCGGGATGACTGTGCACCCGTGGAGGGGGTGGAGGGGGTGGAGGGGGACCTCTTCAGTCTGGAACAAGTGTGCTGAGGACATGACAGCCTCCTTCTGTTTTTTTAAATTTATTTTTTTATGTTTATTTATTTTGAGAGACAGAGAGAGCAGAGGAGGGGCAGAGACAGAGAGGGAGAGAGAGAATCCCAGGCAGGCTCCGTGCTGTCAGTGCAGAGCCAGATACGGGGCTTGAACCCGAGAACCAATGAGGTCATGACCCGAACCGAAACCAAGAGTCAGACGCTTAACCGGCTGAGCCACCCAGGCGCCCCTAAAACCACCTTTTTAACTCGAGGAACAGCTGGAGGCCAGACGGAGGAAGAGTATGGGGCTCGGAAAACAGGAGAAGGACAAAGAAACTCCCGTGATGCCACAGTGGGTAAGTCTGACAACAGCCATGCCGTCAGCCAAGAGGAAACAAAACACAAAAACAGTCCAACCGAGAGAGAGGAATCAGAGGGAAAGAAAAAGCCTGCGGCCGACAGATTACATAGCCTGACGGACCTTGTGGCAAACTATTCGGAGGGGCTCTAATAAGGAGTGGAACTAGTTAGCACATAGATACAAAGAAAGGTAGGCAAGCGAAAAAGCAAGGTGATTGTGAGCTTCAGGAACGACGAAATAAGAAAAATTTTAAAAGGCAAAACAGACCAAAAGGCGTGCCTTCCGGTGGAGCTGGCCCCCGAGAGCGGCTGTTCTAGAAGAATCAGTGTGTGCCTTCTACCTCTCTGGCCAGAACCTGGGAGGTCCTGAGGCAGACTGCAACACAGACTCTCTCTCTCTCTCTCTCTCTCTCTCTCTCTCTGATACCGATGTTTTGCTGCTGAGGAGGGGCACAGGGGGCGCTCAGACACCCCGCGGTCGCGTCAAAGACGGTCACTTCCGTCAGGGCGACATTTCACAAGGAACACATCGCTGACCCAAGCCTTTGTGAACTGCGTAACACGGCACCGACACACATAAAGCAAAAGCTGCAGGAAATAAGGGAACAAGAGAAATCAGTAAAAATGCGCTGTTAGCGGGAAGTCAGCAAATCAGTCCTTGACAGGATGACAGACACAAAAAACAAACACAGCAATGAGGAGACAAGGACAGAGGGGATCGAGGAGGACCTAAGGGGCGCCGGCTGGCTCAGTCAGGGGAGCATGTGTCTCTTGATCGAGGGGTTGTGGGTTCGAGCCCCACATCAGGTGTACAGATGACTAAAAAAAATAGACTTAGAAAAGAAAAAGTGTGACTTAATAATGTATATTTAATTCTATAACTTCAAATTTAAAATACACATTCTTGGGGTGCCTGAGTGGTTCAGTCGGTTGAGCGTCCGACTTCGGCTCAGGTCGTGATCTCGTGGTTCGTGAGTTCGAGCCCCACGTCGGGCTCTGTGCCGACGGCTCGGAGCCTGGAGCCTGCTCTGGATTCTGTGTCTCCCTCTCTCCCCCTCCCCTGCTTGTGCACGCTCTCTCTCTCGCTCTCTCTCCCCCTCTCAAAAGTAAGTAAGCATTAAAAAATTTATAAAATACACATTCTTTTCAAATACTGTCGAATAGCCTTCCACAGAATGCCAATAATTTTTATTTTAAATTCGAGGTTGCACTTCAACAACTTCTCCACACGCCACGTGAAGATAAAAAGCCAGTAACGAAAAGCTGAAATGATAACAATAAGATGCCAAGTACCTAGAAACGCAAAAACTCTCCCAAACCAAGCCGCAGTCTCTGCTACAAGGGACCCCAAAACAGCCAGATACCTAGCAGGTTCCTTAATTGTTGCCACCGTTTGCAGGTTAGGACCAACCAGAGAAAGCCACATGTGGTCCCCCGGCCAAGCACACGGGGCGCCCCGCTTCGAGGTGGCCGCCCCCCCACCCGGCCTCCCAGGGCAGCAGCTCGGGCAGGGCGCACCCGGGAGGCCTTCCCGCTCCGCTGCCGGCCTCTGGGCCTCTGCCGAACCCGAGCGGCGTGGCGACTCCCTCGCCAGGGCGAGCCCGGAGCTCGTAGTCTTGCTTGTTTCCACTGGAACCCCCCTCATTTCCTCCCACAGTACACACAGTGACGGCGTGCTCTCCGGTGCACGTCAGCGGAGGAGGAACGCGATGTTCCACGACATTGGACGCTGTTTTGGAACAAATGGCCAACCATCTGGGGAGGAAGTGCTCAGCCCGTGCCCCTTACCCGCATCAGAATACATGTCTGATGCACCGAAGGTTTAAACGTCAACCGTGCAAGAGGAGAAACGGCAGAAGGAGACATCCGTTCACTGGCACAATCCCCTGGGGAAGGTGAGGCTGTCTGGGGTGGGTCGGCATTCACGGGCGAGGAAGTTCGGGTCCCGCGAGGTAAGTGACAGAGCCGGGACCTGAACCCAAGCCTGACTCCCAGTTCACGGGGCAAAGGGGGTGGGTGGCCGGGGACGGGGAGGGGAGGGGGTGTCGAAGAGCCATGCCACTGCAGGGGCAGTGGAGCTTCTGGTAAACCGCAAGCTCTCACCGGGACCTCGTCGGCCGAGCCCCTGGGGAGGGGGTGCCCAGTGGCAGCGACCTTCCGGAAGGGGGCGGCTTACCTGCTGGGCTGGTGGCCCAGGCTGTGCAGCATGTGCGCCTGGTCCAGGTCTCTCGGGAAGCCGTGCAGCACCCACCCCTTCTGAACGCTGTCCTGCTGGCTCAGCCTCTGGTCCAGCACCTTCATGATGATGCTGTCAGGGACTGCAGGGAGAGGAGGGCGGGCGGTCACGCTGTCTGTCATCCTGGGCACCGCTCCTGACCCAACGGGAGGGTGAGGGAGCATCGGCGGCCTGGGGGCCGTGGGTTTCCTAACTTTCCTTGACTCCGGACTGACCTGGTGAAGGGTCGGGTTTGGGTGGACAAGGCTGCGGGTGCCCAGGTCCCTCCCAGGTCCCAGCAATTGGAGGAACGCAGGCCGTGGGAGAAGGAAAACCGCACTGGATGACCCTGACCTTGATCTTGACCCTCCCCTGACCTTGACACGATGCCGCACCCATCAGCAGCCAGGTTAGTCCCCGTTCCTGCAGGATCTGTTTTTTTGCAGCAAGAAGCTTTTCGGGGTAACACAGCAGGCCCCCGGTGAAGGTTTACTCTGGATGTTTTCTGCTAATTTGCGACACGTAGGCAACCCCTGCTTCTCTCCTTCCTCCGCTTCTCCCCTCCTTGATGTCTAGAATCAGATCTCTAGAATTGCAGCCGTGGTGAGAACCAGACACTGAAACGCAGTCTCAAGGAGAACGAGATCTTGAGAGGATGCTTGTTTACGTTACCGCAATTCACATTTTCCCAAAATGTACACCTCGCCTCCCAGACTCATTAAATGTCCCATGTTGCTGATGTCCTCCCTTCGAGCAATTTGCACTGCATTTCCTGCACTTTGCGTTCATTTTTCCAGAAATACTTGGTAAACATTACCCGTGTTTGCTATGGATGTGGCCCCCGACGAGCGGGCTTCCTTGAGTTGCAGTGAGGGTCTTTGGCAGCTTCTCGGGAGAGGCCCAGCCGCCATGCCAGACGGCCATCCGTGCGTCGGGCAAGTGGCCCTGGTGCACACATCTGGAACCTGCCAAAAGGCCCCAGACTGACGGCCAGGCGAGCACACGGGCGAGAGAGGCAGAAACGGCCGTTTTCCTCCAGGGCCAGGACGTGCTGCTTCCGCTCTTGACCAAAGGCCCAAAAACCTTATCTGAGAGATTCACATTTCCCTGAATTTGTCCCTTCCCGCACCTTCCAGCCTTTCTACCCCAGGCCGGAGGAAAGATCAGAAAAGGGCATTCGCCCTAGAGAGAACATCTGGCACGAACGAGAAGTTGCTGCAGCTCATCCCCTCTCTTCCCCCTGCTTACGCCTGCTGTGGCTCCCCAGTGCTCGGAGGATAAGAACAGTCCCCTCCCCCAAGGCCAGCAGTCCCTTTTAGTCCCTGACTCCTGACTCCCTCCCCGGTGACTCTCCCTCAGCTCTTCACCTCCCCTTGAGTCTGCCAGTCCCTCCTTCCAGAAAGCCCCTCCCCCACACCTTGCCTGGGGCAAGACTTTCCATTCAACCTTCAGGGGCCCCAGTGGAATGGCCCCAGGGGTTGCTGCCAGGTTGGGTTACTTCACTTGCTACCCTCGTCAGTCATCGTCATCGTCATTGGCTGTCCTCTTGTGACGTCTGCCTCTCCCAAAAGACACTGGAAGTCTTTTCCATGAGGAAAAAGACTTTTCCAGGAGGGAAAAGACCACGCCCACCTCATTTCCCCCCCATGATTAACGTAGTGTCCAGCACGCAGTAGGTGTGGAATAATAAATAGACCGGAGGCTTCTTTTTCCAAAAGCTCCACTGCAACTCACCAAACATGTTAAAAGCAACTTGCCCAGACTCTGGGGAGCCCGGGCGGGAGAGAGGAGAGAACTCGGGCTTGGGGGGCACGCAAACCTAGGGTCTCAGCCCTGCCCTCAGGTGCCGCCGACCGACCTCAGTTGGTCACTCGACCTCTCCAAGGGTCAGCTTGCTCACCTGACAAAAAAGGATGACAGGATCTGTCCCCACGGGGTTCACGGTGCACACAAATTTCCAGGCACGCGGCAGCCACTCAGAGATGGTGGCTGATATGTTTCGGTTCGGGAGATGCATGTTGGGAAGTAAAACATAACTGAATGTGTCCACGTGTCCCCCGTGGTCACGGTGTTCTGAGAACAGACTGCTGGCGGGCGATGCAGGAGGCCGGCTTCAAACGAGCCTTGAGACTTAAAGACAGAGACCTCGGGAGAGGCTCAGGCAAGCTCCGAGAGTCATAACGTCAGGGCTTGTCCCCCAGGCTACAGATCCCTGTTTACACAGGGTATGTTGGCTCTCACCGCATGGCCCCGCGAGGATTTCGGGTGTGGGGAGCCAGCACTCCGATCACCGTGTGAACAAATAATGCATCTGTTCTCTGATCTGGGAAACCAGTGCCTTGTTTCAGGATAAATACAGATTAAGCACAAAACGGGTTAAGAATCTGTCACACAGCTTTCCAATCCTAAATATTTACGAGTGTTTTCACCTAAATAAGAAACTAAGACAGAAATAAGCCCTTCCCAGCGATCTGTCCAGTGGATAGTTACGGAGCATCCGTGCTATGCCAGGCACTGTGTTGGCCACTATAATACACGGCAAGCAAGGATCCAGGGGCCCTGCCCTCCCAACGTTTACATTCTAGAGAGGGAGACAGCGCACAGACACATAACCACCGTGGAGCATCATAAGTACGATGAAGAAAACAAACCAAGTGATGGGAGCCTGCTGGTTTGGGTCCAGGATGGCCTCTGGGCAGGTCACATCTGGCTGAGGTCCAAATGGGAGTCCAAGTGCACAAAGACCCAGAGAGTATGTTGTAGGAAGACAGGATGGCAAGGGCCCGGGCCCTGAGGCTGGAACGATCTGGACACATTCAAGTTTCAGAGAAAGGGCCCGTGGGGCTGGAGCTGAGTGGTCCGCGGGAAGTGAGCGCAGACAGGCCCATGAGGCCTTCACAGGGGAAGGGGATCTGGGCCACACACAGGCCACCTTGGGAACAGTCGTGCGTTTGCCTTCATTTAGTCAACGAACCCATGGGAGTTAATCTCAGGATCCTGGACTTGGCCACATCTGCACAGGGACCGGCCATCTTGTGGTATCCGCCAGTGGAGTCCCCAGTCGGGGTCCCCATGCCCCAAGGATGTGGCTAATGAAAAGCACGATTTTCTAAGTGGTCACTGCAAGGCTCCGAAGAGCAAAAATGGACGTCATATAAAGTCCGCGAAGAGCTTGGGCTGAGGACCCTGAATGAAAATCGCCAGCTAACAGCTCCAGCTTTGTAAGCCTCTAGAGAGGAAACACCTTTTGCTGAGCCCCCAAGCGCGGAGCCCTTTAAGTCTGTGGGAATCTGAGCAGCCCGGAGGTGCCACAGGCCTCCGGCAGGTCCCTGTCAGAGTCTGGCTGCAGTGAGAGGGGTCCTTGGCTTCCCTCTCCTAGTCCCGATTCCACCCCAACAGAGTGTTCCACCCCAACACTCTGAACCTCAGTTTCTTCTGCAGACTGGGAAGGCGGATGGGCTGTGCTCAGGGTGGGGTGGGGGAGCTGCAAGGAGGATTTGTGATACGGCTGCCTTTTTTTTTTTATGTTTATTTATTTTTGAGCGCGCGCGCGAGAGAGAGACAGAGTACAAGCAGAGGAGGGGCAGAGAGAGAGGGAGACACAGAATCCGAAGCAAGCTCCAGGCTCTGAGCTGTCAGCACAGAGCCTGATGCGAGGCTCGAACTCACAGACCGCGAGATCATGACTTGTGCGGGTCGGTTGGATGCTTAATTGACTAAGCCATCCCCTGGGTGCCCCTAGCTGTCTTTTAAAAATATTTATTTATTTTAAGAGAGAGAGAGAGAGAGAGCAGGGGAGGAGCAGAGAGAGAGGGAGACACAGAATCCGAAGCAGGCTCTGCAGGAGAGCAGAGAGCATAAGGTGAGGCTTGAACTCAGGAACCATGAGATCATGACCTGAGCTGAGGTGAAGTCAGATGCTTTAACTGACTGAGCCACCCAGGTGCCCCGGTACAGCTGCTTTTATAAGCATTCCTTAGAATAAAACCCAGAAAACTCCCCTCTTAGTTGCCCTGGATCAAGTGTGAGCTGACAGCCCAGGGGTCCAGTGCACTCTTGCTTGGCAGTGATGGGAACTCCCTGAACCTCAGTGTTCTCGTCAGTGGCACCTGCCTCACTGAATGTTGTGGGATCGGCAGATGACTCATTAAAGCTGCCAGATCTGGGGCGCCTGGGGGGCTCAGTCGGTTGAGCGTCCGACTTCGGCTCAGGTCATGATCTCACGGTTTGTGAGTTCGAGCCCCGCGTCGGGCTCTGTGCTGACGGCTCGGAGCCTGGAGCCTGCTTCCGATGCTGTTTCTCCCTCTCTCTCTGCCCCTCCCCTGCTCGTGCTCTGTCTCTCTGTCAACAATAAATAAACATTAAAAAAAATTTTTTTTAAGTAAAATGAGGGGCATCTGGGTGGCTCAGTCAGTTGAGCGTCCGACTTCGGCTCAGGTCATGATGTTGCGGTCTGTGAGTTCAAGCCCCACGTCAGGCTCTGTGCTGACAGCTCAGAGCCTGGAGCCTGCTTCTGATTCTGTGTCTCCCTCTCTCTCTGCCCTTCCCCTGTTCATGCTCTGTCTCTCTGTCTCTCAAAGCTAAATAAAAATGAAAAAAAAATTTTTTTTCAAATAATAAAAAATAAAGAAGCCAGATCTGTTAGAGGTCTTCTGAAGGGCCATGTGGGTGTATTTTTAGACCCTTCCCCAAGTTTATCCAGATTCCCAAAAGATGGGCTATGATGAAGCCATTGGGAAGAGTACGTGACCCTTAAATGTCAAACTTTTTGGATTAAATCTCCCCTGAGCTTAAACCTGACTTTAGGAGAGTGCTGTAGGTTTGACACAGGCTTGTCCATGGAGAAGGGGCTCCACTAGGTAATGAGGTTGCTGGCCAGTGACACCCCGGGTGCATTCAGGCCTCGGCTGTTGGGGGTGAGGGCTGGACCGGGCCAACATTTGCTGACTGGTTTCTCCAACGGTCAGGCCCTGTCAGAAAGCAAGCTGTGCTCCAGGGAGGACTGCGCTGCTCACCTGCAGCCTTATCGGGGCGACGGGGGCTGCTCGTGAGGCTCGGAGACCTGGAGGGAAGGCCCTGGAAGGTCATCCCCTTGACCTCTCT